TCAGTTGTGTAGTTTCTGAAATTTTAACCACATACACAAAAAGAAAATCTTCATTAATTCAGGAAAATAAAAATATAAAACTAAGGCACTGTTACATATATTCAGTCACCTAATACAAATATATTACATCTTTAAACACTTTTAATAAATACATAATTTCATTTTTTCTAGTTAGTGTGCATGTATAAAGGTTGCTTACCACCTACTTAGGAAGTTATTGCAATAACCTGAATGCCCAGTCTAGAATGATTACAGGAAAAAAGGAAAAGAAGAAATTCCTCTGACAAGTATAGATTGCTATAAGAAGTTATGGACTTTTTTTTTTTTTTTTTTGAGACGGAGTCTCACAATGTCACCTGGGCTGGAGTGCAATGGCGCAGTATCAGCTCACTGCAACCTCTGCCTCCCGGGTTCAAGTGACTCTCTTGCCTCAGCCTCCTGAGTAGCTGGGATTACAGGTGCCCACCAGCATGCCTGGCTAATTTTTTGTATTTTTAGTAGAGATGGAGTTTCACTATGTTGGCCAGGCAGTTCTCGAACTCTTGACCTCATGATCTACCCACCTCAGCCTCCCAAAGTGCTGGGATTACAGGTGTGAGCCACTGTGCCCGGCAGCACTGGGCTTTAAATGTCTAAGGAAAAAAATGTGCAGTAGGTCACTAGTCAAATTTTTAACGTGTTTATTTAACTACAGGTATAGCATGAAGATGAACTTCAAATATTATGAGAAATTAAGTATTCTGTGTTGGTCTACTCTTTTAAATTTCAATGTACCTCTTCTTAACTAAAGAGAAATGTCTTAAACCTCTTTATACTTTACAACTATTTTATGTATTTAGATTCTTCTCTAGTATTTCATTTTATTTATTTTATTTTGTTTTATTTTATATTTTATTTTATTTTATTTTATACAGAGTCTTGCTCTGTTGCCTAGGCTGGAGTGCAGTGGTGCAATCTTGGCTCACTGCAACCTCTGCCTCCTGGGTTTAAGTGATTCTTGTACCTCGCCTCTTGAGTAGCTGGGATTACAGGCAAGCTATACCCTGTCCAGCTAATTTTTTGGCAGTTTTAGTAGAGACAGGGTTTGACCATGTTGGTCAGGCTGGTCTCCAACTCCTGGCCTCAAGTGATCTACCCTCCTTAGCGTCCCAAAGTGCTGGGATTACAGGCAGGAACCACCACTCACCATCTCCAAAATTTGTTTCCAGATAACTTTGGACTGCAGATGACATTTTGCACACACTTTAAGATACACCCTACAACTTGTATGAAAGAAACTGCAAGCACTGATGCAATGGTACATGCATAGAACTTGGGTTTAGTTATCAAGAGCATGTATAAGCTCAAATTTGTGTGATGTCTTAGATGTGTTCTCATAGTCCTTTAAATGGTAATGAGAAGATTTGAGGAAGTGTGTGTTGTTTGAGATTATAAGGGAGTAGGGAACATAGTATTTGTTAGTTCCCCATCATTGCTTTTGGACCTGTTTCTTTTAAGTTTTGGAACTTGATCATCCCCAATAAGCACTAAGCATCCTATATCCCTACTCAGCCATGGGCAATGTATATTTCATTTTCAAAGGCAGAGCATGAGAGAGACAAATAGCAGTATTTGTGTTGTGCTGTGTGTCAGCAGGCCTTTCTCGATCATTACGGTGATGTCTTTCCTCCCTAAATAATTTTTACAAATATACTGATGAAGACAGATTTCTGTTATCTATCTTTGATGGGTCATAAGTTGAACAAGCACTGTATTTTTTCCTGAAAATATGCACAGTTGTGACATGGTGTTTAATAGTCTTAAGCTTACTGCTGCCAAAATAAACACAGCTGTAAGAAATGATGACCCTCTCATCGTTGTAACAATAAAATAGCTTCCTAATGTGCTTCCCTAACTCTGAATGTTAAATTAATATCCCCTGGATTTCTGAGTACCATCCTTTCCCCCCGCGGAAACCCCATGAAGAATACAGCTTTTGACCAAATGACAGAGCATAGAGGATGAAATTAGTTGCATTAAATTAGAATATGACAAAAAGCCTTTCTAAATCTTTGTCACAATGCAACATTCAAGCAACATTAAACCAAACAGAGTATAAGTGGATCAAGGAAGAGAGTTAATATTTTGAAAATAAATTTGGTGAACTAGATCACTTGCAAATTTGAAAGTGTCATTGATAGCATGTGAGCTGTGGCAGTTTGTAACTTGGGGATCCTATCCTACAGTTACATGTGTGGTCTCCTCTTATTCAGTCTTTGGATATGGAATTAACTGTATTAATGGTTTTTTTGGTTTTCTTATATTTCTCATAAAAGCAAGTCGCCATTGCTAAAGCCTGAATTCAAGAAAATAATGGGAGAAAGTATGATGAGTAAGATTCCCATTACTATGCAGTGTTTCTTGTTTTCCTATTTCTAAGTATGTGCATTTAAACAACAGCATACATTTTGTAAATTAGCATTAAGATAAATTGTCTTCTAAAAAGAGAAAGCAAAATCTTTCCTTTATTTCTATCATAACTTGGATTTATTTTAACATTCTTTCCCCTGAAATATCTGAGTTTTATTTTCAAAGTTAAATTCTACCACGTTGGGTTGTGAGAAAATAAAAGCCTCTAATAGGGTTAATCTAGCTACATAAAAGTCTATGCTGGGTATGATCATAATCTTGATCTTTGATTAAATCTGAGCTAGTAATATCTTGTGATTAATCAAAATGGGTTGCACTGCATGTAGCACAAGTTGTCTTCACAGATGGGCTTCAGAATCAGAGTTCTTTTGAATATTTATTTTAATCCTTTCTAGGGTAAAATGGCTTTGTTTTCTGTTTTTGTTTCTTTTTACCTTTTTTACTTTAAATCAGATTGAGTTCACCAAATAAATAACTAGGAAGAAATTTTGAAGTTTAGTCTTGCTAAGATTACAAATCAACAAAGAAAAAACTTGTATTTTAATTGATAGTATTCCAAAGGATGTTTTGTATGTTAAAAATGCAAATTATTAGTAAAATTTAACAAATCATCTCAATCATTGGTAGTTTGAATAAAAAAGTTATGAAAGACTATATCAAAATAATACCTCAAATAAATATATGGAGATTTTTATAGTTCTCAATTTAAGATTATTATTTCTCTTCTGATTATGTATTTCCTATCTAATTGACATCTGATAACAAAGAGCTTTACTTTGGCAAATAAACTTTCCAACATCTAACACCCAGGGCACAGCAAGAGCCCTCAGATTCACATGCACAATGTCTGTCAGCTCTGGCAGTGAGCTGCTTTGGTGGTTTTTTTCCCTAGGTCCACAGGTTAACTGACTAATGTTTCTATAGTCAGAGTGCAGCTGTGGGACTCCAAGTCTTGCATCCTGGTACACAGCTTGTCCTTACATAGTTTCATGACTTTAGGAAAACTTGTTGATCTCTTAGGCCTTGAGAACTCTTACCTATAAAAGTGAGAAATTGCAAGAAAGCCTCCAAGGTGCCATCTAGTTCTAAACTCGGTGATAAGTCAATTCAGTGAAAAATTAAACAATAAATACTTCAATATGACTTGCACATCCTAAAGAACACATCTCCATTTACTATGTTAAGTACACTTAAGTGGGTTTAAAAAACTTCAAATCCAATAGTGCATCGTCCCTCTACACCTTTATTATATAATATAATTGAAGGGTTCTTAAGATTAAAAAAAAAAGAAAGAAAGAAAGAAACCCTCATAACCTTTATTTGTGGAAAGACCTAAATGCCTATACATGAGTTGGAATTTCAAATGAGGTGGAGTTAGTTTGACTGGGTCTAAACATATAAAAACAATATGCTAAAGAGAAAACAAAATAATCAGTAATTGACATTGTTTACATGATTTCCGACAAGCAGTTTGACTAGAACTTAGATTTGGCCTGTTCCACTGCACATCACCAAGCACATAGCAGATGACACAAGCATTAATCAAAATAAGTTTAAGTCTCATTGATGAAATTGATCAAGCAGCATTTATAACATGACTTGTGAAAGACCAATAAAATCAGGCAGCTGATCATTTGTTTTTTATCAGTATTATAACTAACAATTTCATAGAGTAAATTATATCAGTTGATTTCGTTTCCTGGAGATCTTAGTCACACGTACCTACTTAATGATGACGGGAAGCAGAATAGGAAATAAATAAAACAGATTGTAACCTAACTATCAGTCAGTCATAGAGGCCTTGCAAGACACAGTTCCTTCAAAAAGTTGCTCACCAGGATGCAAATGCATACAAATGATATTATGGACCCAGCACGGTGGCTCACGCCTGTAATCCCAGCACTTTGGGAGGCCGAGTTGGGTGGATCACGAGGTCGGGAGATCGAGACCATCCTGGCTAACACGGTGAAACCCCGTCTCTACTAAAAATACAAAAACAAATTTAGCTGGGCATGGTGGCGGGTGCCTGTAGTCCCAGCTATTTGGGAGGCTGAGGCGGAGAATGGCGTGAACACGGGAGGCGGAGCTTGCAGTGAGCCGAGATTGTGCCACTGCACTCCAGCCTGGGCGACACAGCGAGACTCCGTCTCAAAAAAAAATAAAAATAAAAAAAAGAATGATATAATGGACTTTGGAGATTCAGTGGGAGTACCCAGGGGGAAGGGTGAAATTAGGGTGAGGGATAAAAGACTACATATCGGGTACAGTTACACTGCTTGGGTGATGGGTGAACCAAAATCTCAGAAATCACAACTAAAGTACTTATCCATGTAACCAAAAACTCCCTGATCCCCAAAAACTGTTGAAGTAAAGTTGCTCACCAGAAGTTATGCATTGAACCATACATACTGGAGAAGCTCAGTAAACTCATGTCTATGATTAGAATCACTGAGTAAGAGAATAGACAGAAGCAGTGCAATCCATGCAGTCATCTTCTAGATTCAATAAATAAACCACCTGTATTCAAATAAGAATGGAATGATTTGATTTTTCTTTTGTTCTTTTTTTTTTTTCTTTTTTTTTCCTTATAGGAGACCCGGTGAGCCTCCATTGATAAAAGGTTGGCTTCCTTATCTTGGAGTGGTCCTGAAATTACGAAAAGACCCCTTAAGTTTCATGAAAACACTTCAAAAGCAACATGGTGACACTTTCACTGTTCTTCTCGGTGGTAAGAAGCACTTCTATTAATACCTTATATATGACATAATTTTTCACTTGTTCTTTAAAGTCTTTCTGTTTTTCTCTAGGCAAAATGTAGAATATTTGTATATTTTTATTTTATTTTGTGGAGCTAATGTGAAAGAAAACTATTATTTTTAGTTCAGTGATCCTCACATTAAAAATCAAATCACAGAACTCTCTTCATGGTACTTAGGGAACCCCTCTTTCTAGCCATCACCTGTCATTTTGGTTTGGTTTAGTTTGGTTTGAAGAATGGTAGAAAAATATATATATAACTGTACAAAAGCTAGAATGTGTTTTTTAAATTAATGCTCTTTATTTTGTAGAGCAGTTTTAGGTTTATAGAAAATTTAGTAGTTCAGAGAGTTCCCATATACCCCCTCCCCCAATCACAGTTTCCCTGACTGTATCTATGTAGTATATTTGTTACAACTGATGAGCCAATATTGATCAATTATTAAAAATCCATGATTTACATTGCAGTCTATTCTTTGTGTTGTGTAGTTCTTTGGGTTTTCACAAACGTATAATGACATGTATCCGCCATCACGGTATTATATGGAGTAGCTTTACTCCTCTAAAAATTTCCTGTGCTCCACCTATTCATTCTTTTTTCCCTGCCTCTGAGTCTCCAGCAACCACTGGTCAAGAATGTATTTTTCATTTTAAAACTTTCATTGCACTTCAGACTTTAATAAAGTATTCACCAAAACACCAAGACAAATGAAGAAGAAAAAAACCAGCAAGATTGCTACACACCCCAAATATTCCAGGGTTGGGAGAAGCTGGACTGTTCCTAGCTTACCCTTTTTTAAGACCCAAACGGTGTAGCTGTATCAGCTATTGATTGCTGAGTAACAAATCCTCCAAAAGTTTAATGGCTTAAAATAACAACTGGTCTGGCCTGAGTCACTTGTGTGGCTTGTCTGGACTCTGGATGGGAGCTGGATGATCCTAGATGGTCTCATCACATGCCTGGGTGGGCCGCCTTGACCACAGGGTCTTTCATCCTCAAGAAAAGTTTCTTACATGGCAGTTAGCGTCTCAAGGGAATGAGAGAAAAAGCTTCAAGGTCTCTTGAGGCCTAGGATCAGATATTGCAAAACCTCACTTCCACCATATCCTATTAGTTAAACCAAGTCACAGTGCAGCCCAGATTCAAGGGCAGGAAAAGAGACTCCACCTCTTCCTGGAAGGAGTAGCAGAGCCACATTGCATGGGTACACATGTAGAGAGATGGAAGGAATTCATTGTACACAACCTTCCACATCAGTTTATGGCCTGGGCTAGCTCTTCCCTCTCTTTGCTTTTCCACGTCCTGCCTATGCTCTGAAAGCTGATCTCTACACACTAGATTACCCACACCTCTTTGCTTGTTGAGTATTGCCAGTGGGAGGGCAAGAAGAGGCTGAGTCTCACTCCTCACTCTCACTGGGGCTCTGGTAACACAGTTCATTCTCCTTCCTTCACATGGTAACTGAAGACATCCAGTATAATCTCCCTTAGAGCCCCATGTGTCTACCAAATGTACCTACATTTCCCAATGATCTACTACCTTTTCTCCAATTTCAAAGAATGTTCAAGACACTCCATCTCCCTGTCCCCATGACCCTTTCTTCCTGCCTCCTCTGGGCTGGTACATCTTGATTCATTCTCTCACACATGCATCTTCATTTTTTTCTTTCTTGGCTTCTTACCATCAGTTATAATCATGCTTAAGGTTCTCCTCTAGTTACTTTCCACTTTTCTTCTTTTCTTTTTCATCCAGCTCTTTCAAGAGAGTTGCGTATATTTGCTATCTCTAGTTGTGTATCTCCTAGAGCTCTCCTAACTATAACCAGCCTTCAGCCTTGCTGAAGTTATTTCCTGGTCCACCTACCTAGACCTCTCTACCTGGTTTGACAATGCTGATCGCTTGTTCCTTCCTGAAATACTCTACTCCTCCTTTACTCTCCATACTCCCCATTCTGGTTCTTTATCTAAATCATCTACATGCATGCCTTTTTCTTAGCTCAACCCTTATGTCTTCCTTCAGCCAGCCTTGGAAGTTTGTGTTCTGTTCTTAGAGAGCCAGTAATTTTCTTCTGCCTGTAACTACTTTGCTGAGGGTCAGAGGCAACCTTTGGAAACTACAGTGACTTAATTTCAGTGCTACCATTTTCATGCAGTATTTGGGAGAAATGATCCAACTGGAGGAAATTATCAGCATGATTGAGTTCTCACATGGACAGACAGTTTCATCACAACTTACTCCTTTGCCTGGAAGCTGGCTAGTCTGAGGTGGTGGATCATGAGGTCAGGAGTTCGAGACCATCCTGGCCAGCATGGTGAAACCTCATCTCTACTAAAAAAAATGAATAAATAACAATACAGAAATTAGCTGGACATGGTGACATGTGCCTGTAGTCCCAGCTACTTGGGAGGCTGAGGCAGGAGAATCACTTGAACCCAGGAGGCAGAGGTTGCAGTGAGCCGAGATCACACCACTGCACTCCAGCCTATTGACAGAACGAGACTCCGTCTCAAAAAAAAAAAAAAAAAAAAAAAAAAAATTGTATGCACTCTGATTTCAGAAAAATTGAAATTGAAAACAATCATGCATTTTAGAGGAATTTTAGTATATACAGTAGTCCTCATAAGGCCCCCCGAAGATCAGGTCACCACCAGCCTTTCCAGCCCAGTCTCTTGTTGCTGCTCACCTTGTGCTTCACACACCATGAATGCACCATGTTGTTTGAAATTTCCTCCTCACACACCATACCTGGTGGGGCCTCTGGGTTTTCTTTATCTTGCTGTTCTGTCTGCCAGAATGTTGTTGTTTACCTGACTGACATGGACTCAACTTTTGAGGCCAGAGTCACACATTATTTCCTCTCAATAGCCTTTGCTGACTCCTCCTATATTTGGTGCCTCTTCTCCAGGGTCCAATTACTCCCAGTATCACTTCTGTAAGAGCATTTAATACATCGTGAAGTTATTACCAATTCACTTGTCTGTCTCCCATCATTATTCTGTTAGCTTCTCTATTGTCAACATTTAGTCTAGAGCTCAGAACTGATTCTCAATGAATATTGGATGGAGAAACCCCTAATTCCTTAGAGCTGATGAAACACTGGAATACTGTACAGATAAAAGCCTGAGCTGGTGCTTCTCCTCTAAGTGAGCCTTGGGCTTTATGGTACCAAAACTATATTGTTCACTTAAAAAAAAAAGTCATTCTTACTTTAAATAATTAACGCCGGTGTTTCTAATGAAGAGATAGAACAAGTGATTGAAATGTTCAGTTTTTCTTTTTTTAATACCAAAAACGTACAAAAATAACCTAAGATGATTGTGCAGAAAGTTGTGGCAGATTTGAATCACTTTATTTACTTTTCAGAAAATTGTCAATTTCTGCTGACACTTGATTTCTTAATCTTAGGTACCAAGAAGCTTGCTGAATTTCTAACATCTAAATAATTTGACCATGGTTATGTTTGAACTCAACAGTAGACAACCACAGTTAAATGTGCACGATACCTCCCTTTTGCTTCTTACTAGAATTTGAATAAATTCCTGTCAAGAAATCCCGTTAATGTATATGGTTCTAATGATCAGTTTGCAAAGTAACTCATTTAGAAAATGTGAAATGAAGAACAAAGTCTTCCGCTCTTGTCTCATGATGTGACTTCACTGAGTGTATGTTCTTGCATGATGAGCAAATGATTGTCATCCCCAAAAGTCTCAAGGGACATGGATGTCATCTTAATAAAGAAATTAAAAGGTACATCTTTTCATGAGAAACCATGTAAATTCTTGACCTGTCGCAGAAAATAGTTCTCTAATTGGTTTTGTGTGGTGGTGCAGCGGAATCGTTTTCCCTAGATGTCAGCCCAGCAAAGCACCACTGTACATCATTGTCAGCAGCTAGTGAAATCTTCCTAATAAGAGGGGGGATATGTGCATGTGGCCATCCTCATAAAGTACAAAGTTGACTCTTATTTCACTCTCCCAACCGATATTTGCAGCTTGAGATTAAAAAATTCTATTGTAAAACAAGCTAAACACAGAGATTAAAAGCTTCTAATTATGAAAATTGTTAAAATTCAAATTTGTCTCTTTTTTTGGGGAGACAAGTTCTCCTTTTGTCACCCAGACTGGAGTGCAGTAGCATAATCATAATTCACCGCAGCCTTAAATTCCTGAGTTCAAGTGATCCTCCCACCTTGGCTTCCTGAGTAGCTGGGACCACAGGTGTGTGCCACCACACCTGCCTAATTTTTTTTAAGGTTTTTTGTAGAGATGGGGTCTCCCTATGTTGCCCAGGTTGGTCTTGAACATCTGGCCTCAAGTGACCCTCTGGCATTGGTTATTTTTTTTATGGGACATTTCTATGCCAAGCAGCCAATTTTTGTGATACATATATATATATATATATATATATATATATATATCTTTGTATAGCACCAAATATCTGAAATGAAAACATCAAAATTCGATTTATAATGATCCAGATGTCAAAACTTTTTGTTTGACATTAGGATGAATGACTGAATTTTTAAAAAACATCTACGAATATACTTTGAATTGTGTAGCTTTACCTTCCTAAAGAATTAATTTTAAAGGAAGTGGGAAGGCTACTAAGGCGTAAAATCTCTTATGCAGGTTATACAGGAATGCTAGAGTTAATATTGTAAGGCCAGTTAGCTCCTAAAAAGGGAAGAGAATGAAATGATTGGCAAGGAAGATATCAAAAATTTTGACCTGACTTCAAATTTACTGCATCTAAGAATGATTTATATTGTACTTTTCTTGCAGATATGGCCCCACTTTGACATTTATATTTTAGACAAATGCAAACTCTGAAATTCTTTTTTTTTTTTTTTTTTTGAGACGGAGTCTTGCTCTGTAGCCCGGGCTGGAGTGCAGTGGCCGGATCTCAGCTCAGTGCAAGCTCCGCCTCCCGGGTTTGCGCCATTCTCCTGCCTCAGCCTCCGGAGTAGCTGGGACTACAGGCGCCCGCCACCTCGCCCGGCTAGTTTTTTTGTATTTTTAGTAGAGACGGGGTTTCACCGTGTTAGCCAGGATGGTCTCGATCTCCTGACCTCGTGATCCGCCCGTCTCGGCCTCCCAAAGTGCTGGGATTACAGGCTTGAGCCACCGCGCCCGGCCTGAAATTCTTTAAATCAATATTTCACATCAACTGCTGACAGCATTCTCTTCTTTTTGGAAAACATGGAAAAGGGTGTTGTTTTTACCTCGTGATCTTTGTAAACTAGGTAACATGCCTGCTGACACTGGTCATTCATTTACATAAAATCACCCTGGAGCAAAAGTTAATGTTGCTGCAAGAATACACAGCCTTCAGAATACCTTTTCAGAAAAGTTCCTTTGTTAAGAAATTTAAATTCATTTTATGAATGTATATGAGTTTTCCTAACTGTCTGATTAAAGATCACAAAGAAACTCTGGTTTTGCATCTCACATTAGCAGATGGTGGACAGATGGTTTAAATTAATATTAATTTTGGAAAACTTAGCTTAAATTGTTTATACTGAAGATTAAAAGTTGGAAAGCCAGCTAACATCTCCAGGGTTATTAGTACTTCCAAACCCACATGAAAAGTAAAATCCAGAAAATCAAAATGTCTTCTTCTGAAGCAATTCACATGTCAATCAAAAAGATAGTAGGTAAAACATAATGCCTTGATGTTGAAGGACACTGAAATAAGAATGAGAAAGAGAAAACACAGATCCTAGTGTGAAAAGAGCCTTGAAAGGAGTAAGATTAGATCTACAGAAAAACAAAGCTAATCAGTACTGATCTTTATAAAGAACCGATATACAAACAACTGCTTACATTTTTTAAAAGCAATTTATTAGTAATTGGTTGCTAACTTGAACCATTTTGTCCACATTCAACTTTTATTCCTTTTATTTGAAATTAACTTCATTGTTTTTTTCCATACCCTCATTCCCAAGAGGGTGGGGATAGGAGAGAGGAGGAAATAGAGACAGAGAGAGAGAGAGAGGGAGAAGGAGAGAGACAGAGAGAGAGAGAGAGAGTAAGAGAGAATGAATGTGTGTATTTGTAATGATTGTAGACAAAACAAAAAATGTAACATGTATACAGCCTCTACTTCAGTAGGCCCAATAACAGGTAGCTCATGCTGTCATGTCTGAATATGTTTTTCTCTTTCCACTTAGATTTAGATTAATATAGAAAATTGTAGAAAAAAATTCAAAATATTCTCTAAATATTGTGTGTTTTACAAATTGAATCTTTTATACACTCTGGTAATATTAGGGAATAATTTAAAATAACCCCAAAGATATTTAGCAGAATCCTTTTATTTAGTGAAAGGAGAAAAGTATGAATCACCACCTGTGAAAATACACAACTTTGCCTAAAATTATATCTTTTGCAAAATAAGAGAATTGATTTTTTTCAATTATTTCTCAGGCAGATGCTGGCAATTTTATTTAATTAAGTGGCTATGATAAAGCAGGTGTCATAAAATATGCTTAAATTGGGTTGAATCCTTTTTGCTCTCCCCAGAGCACATACACACACACAAATTTAGTTTACCTTGTAGAAGACAGCTTTAGGATCTGACCAGAATGAACAGCCACTTCTAGCTTTACTGGCATCCTAGATCCACTCACATTATTGAATTAATCAAGGGGAAAATGAGTGAATACAATTTAAGTCATCTGAGTCATTTTTAGAAAATAAATCATAGCACATGTATATTCATGTATATTAAAAACTTAAGTTGTGTTTCAAAGTTGTGAAACAAAAACATATTCATCTGTTTCTAGGATTACGTTGAAAATTACTTCAAAACTTTATTTGAAATATCTTGCACCAAACTGAATTAAATTTCTATGATGCCATTTGAGTTACCACAAATAACAAGTGAGAAGTTGTTCCACTAACAAAGCAACACACACACACACACACACACACACACAGACTCAAACAGGAATAATGACATGAAAATAATAAATAAGTAGATGTTAATGTTCTTAGGATCATCTAAAGTTTATGCCTGTTCTGTACAGGAAAGACATTAAATGTCATTATTGATTACTACCTGCGTGATATTTCTAATTAGAAGGAATCTTAAAACAGCACTCTAGTGAGAAGACAAAGAGTAGTGCATGGTGAGTAACTTCTCATCAAGGGTCTGCCACTGAAAATGGCAGCATGATCTTGACCCTTAACATCTCTTGACTTTCTTCAACTTTATCAGCTGATAAATGCAGAGGGTAAGCTAGCAATTCTCCAAGGTCTCTGCCAATCTTGAGAGACAAACTATAGTATGACTGTGTTCCTCAAGATGCCTACTTATAAGAATTACTTGAGGACCTTATCATAAAGGACACTTGTGGGACCCCCTCCAAGCCTTCTGAATCAAAATCTTGCAGTAATCTGTATTTTTTGCAAGCATCCCAAGTTTTTAAATCGATGTTTGGGTAACACTGATATGTGGAAAAGGTAAATGTCATCACCTCCAAGAGACCTTGATGATAACTCCAGGCCAACTGAAGCAAACTCCACTCTTTGCTTCCCTTATGCTGTGTTTCACCTCTGCCATGTCACAATCCATAAGGATGCAGTGATTTCTCTGCATCATTGTATCTCAAGAGGAAAGGGATCCAACTAAGATTCCGGATCTTAATCAATGTAGTGAATGGTGAATGAATTCCTGAATGAATGGATGAATGGATGTGTTCTAGTTCAGACTCCTGTGTCAGTCACAAGTCAGTATGTGACCTTGAACATGTTATTAAATCTCCCTCATCTATAAAAGTGAAAATGCTGGCATTAGTGGATTTTTGCTAGTGTTGAATTAGACATTTATTTGTGAGTACCTGCTCCATACAGTATGGTCATTTATGTGAGTTAAAATTATTGTATTTGAACAAAACTCAGATGACACCTAAGTATGAAAAAGCTCTTTATGAAGTATAAATACTCAGAAATGGAAGGGCATGTTGCCAATTTGTTTTCTGCTTTACTGAGGGAAAAATATGAGAAGTATTGAAGTCCAGGGATTATGAGAATATTTAAAGGATATTTAAAATATTCAGGTACTTTAGTTAGAATAAAAATTGGAAGAGTAAGCCATCTTTTTAAAGGTTAGTAAGAACTTCAGGATATTTTACTTCATGTTTCTAGAGTGTTTTCCACCATCTTTCATTTTCAAAGGAAACATGTAGTGTACCTTCGAATAAAATGGATTTGTATTAAACTTTGTGTCTTAGGTATTAGGGTCTTTCTAATTTTGATTAAAATATTTTTAAACTCATGGTGTTTATTTCTGTTTTATTAAGAAATGAACTTATATTCTCTCTCTCTCTCTTTTAGGAAAGTACATAACATTTATCCTGGACCCCTTCCAGTACCAGCTAGTGATAAAAAATCATAAACAATTAAGTTTTCGATTATTTTCTAATAAACTATTAGAGAAAGCATTTAGTATCAGTCAGTTGCAAAAAAATCATGACATGAATGATGAGCTTCACCTCTGCTATCAATTTTTGCAAGGCAAATCTTTGGACATACTCTTGGAAAGCATGATGCAGAATCTAAAACAAGTGTTTGAATCCCAGCTACTAAAAACAACAAGTTGGGACACGGCACAATTGTATCCATTCTGCAGCTCAATAATATTTGAGATCACATTTACAACTATATATGGAAAAGTTCTTGTTTGTGACAACAAATTTATTAGTGAGCTAAGAGATGATTTTTTAAAATTTGATGACAAGTTTGCATATTTAGTATCCAACATACCCATTGAGCTTCTAGGAAATGTCAAGTCTATTAGGAAGAAAATTATAAAATGCTTGTCATCAGAAAACTTAGCCAAGATGCAAGGATGGTCAGAAGTTTTTCAAAGCAGGCAAGATGTCCTGGAGAAATATTATGTGCACGAGGACCTTGAAATAGGAGGTAAGAACTTCTGAATGAGTACTTGCCTAAAACAAAATAATTTACAATAGACCTTTGAAATAAAAAGACAAAATGGTGACCTTGAAAATTTTTTATGCTCTTTCTAATTGGCTAATGATAAAATGTTTTACTCCGATATAACCCTGTATGATAATTGATTTTTTTTTTTTTTTTTTTTTTTTTTTTTTTTTTTGCTGAGGTGGTAAAACAAGATACTTAATGGTGATAATGAGAAAGAGTATAACTAAGCTGCATTTACTCCTCTTATCTCATCCCCCAGCACCCCGCCCCCCCATACACATTACATTTTAAACTATTCTCATTAAGCAGAAAATTAGACTTCAGAAGCCTATTGGTTCTCATTAGCATGCACTGATCCTTGGCTGGGTCTGTGTCCTAACATCTTTTAATTAGCACACTGCAAATCTAATCAGTGTAATAAACGCTATTAATCTTCCTTTTCACTTATTTTCTCCCAGCACATCATTTAGGCTTTCTCTGGGCCTCTGTGGCAAACACTATTCCAACTATGTTCTGGGCAATGTATTACCTTCTGCGGCACCCAGAAGCTATGGCAGCAGTGCGTGACGAAATTGACCGTTTGCTGCAGTCAACAGGTCAAAAGAAAGGGTCTGGATTTCCCATCCACCTCACCAGAGAACAATTGGACAGCCTGATCTGCCTAGGTAATTTATTTTTATCTGTTATGAAGAGAAGAAGGTACCTCTCTGCAAACTCAGTTTATCACTCATAGCTGTTTACCAAGAGGTAGAGGACACAGCTGCCTAATTGACATAATAACACCCATTTACATCAATTATAAATTATGTAGTTTATAGCCGTAGATACTCTCATTGCATGTAAACATTAAGGCCTAGGTAATTAACTATGCAAGGTATGCAAAAGGCTAAACCAAAGCTTTGCAATTATTTGAAAAAAAGTTTATGCCTATTAAATCATTTGATTCTGAGCATCTGTTGATGTGCTAATGCTTTCCAACACTGCTGCACTATCTTGTCAAGAAGTATTTAGGGATTGAAAAGGAAAGTGTTGCAAAAAAGACACCCTGTGTGCAAATTATATTTCTTGCCTAAAATGATGTCTATATTTTCAAGCACAGGTTAGACGTTTTATGGAGTGTGTGATCCTCAAAAACATACAAAAAAAGTTTTCCATTGGAAGTTCATTATTTAAACCCACAAAAAAAAATAAAAGAAGGAAAAAAAAGAAAAGAAGAAAGGGAGGAGGGAGGGAGGGAAGGAAGGAAGAGAGAAAGGGAGAAAAACAAAAGGAAAAGCAACAACTACAAACTATTCCTGTGAAACATTGATATTTTATAAAATATTCACTGACTCGTGAGATATACATGGTCACTATTTCAAATATGTTTGAGGCTGGTAGTGACTAAGGTTGTTTTGTATTTCTACATAGGCCTGTACCTCAATGACTGGAGCTTTTAATCGCAGCAGATTTCATTCCCCTTTACTACTTTGAGAAGGCTGTTCACTACCATTCCCTGATTGAACTTCTACTGTCAAAGTTAAATTCCATACCAATGAGTTATTCTCTATTCTTTCTGTATTGACATTTCATCCTGCAGTATCCTTTAGGGTACAATATTCCAAGTTTCTTTGGACAAATGCAGGAACAAATGTTCACATATTTCTGTTTATTCCTTTGACAATGTGGGCAAGCATTTTAGTCTATGTTGGTCTCAATTTTTTATCTTTTAAATATGTTCCAGGTTATTGAATGGGAACTTTCAGGAGCAAAAGTCCTCCCAGGTTTGGTCAGTGTTCACCATCAGTGGCCATTTAAGAAAATGGTCCAAGTGTTCTAGAGATTGTTCTCACTTCTTAGGCTAAGGCCCATTGAGACAATGCCAGAAAGCATGCCTTATACTGGCAGTCAGTTAGGAAAAATGTGTTGCCTTGTAGTTTGTGTCTTTAGCATAGGTTATCAAATACATTTTATATTTTCTTTAAAAAAAATCTCGACATTACTGCAATACAAATGCTCTTTTATTTTTCTTTGCAGAATTATTGGGGAACAAATACGGAACATTTGTGTAAATTTTGGGTAGTTGCTCCACTTGGATACACAGTATTTTCTGGCATATTTATAATTTCTATGAAGATCTAGGTTGCATTTCCCATATATTCAAGCAGTTTCCCTTGCATTTTGTGAATAAGATGACACATATTGGGAAGTAAGGCAAATACACTAAAAGGAATATGTGTTTGTGTTCTGTATAGTTATTACTCTTAAAAAATCTAGTTGTAATTCATCCACTCTCTTTTTACTTTCAACTTTTTGCTATTAAAAATCATTTTTAAATTTCAGTATTAAAGCAGAAACATTTAAATTTATTAGACCAGAAGAAATGGCAGATTCCAGAGTTATAATCTGAGTCCATTTAAGCCCATAGCTAGAGCTAGAGATTTTCACTGTTGGATCCCTCATAAATTTACAAGTCTCCTGTCATTGATGAATGAATAAAAACAACAAAAATCCCAAGCAAGTTTAGATCCACCTAGATAAAGGCAGTACCTTCAGCAGCCTGGATGGTTCATCACGACCTCGGTTACCAGCAGAGGCCAGTGCTGTTCATTACGAGAATTTAAAATGATGGGGCCGACTGTGATCTAGAAAATAATGTGTATGTTTTTTCTTTCAAAAGATAGAAGGTTTATGCAGATCAGAGCAAACTTATATGTGAATTAGTTACATAACAAATAACCTCTGCAGATAGTCATAGCTCAGTTGTATTTCTCCGTATTGAAAGAGCATGAACTATATGTGCAAAGGCAAGACGTACACAAATATTTACCACGTGCCATGTGGTATGTGTGTATGTGCTTATTCTTCTTCTCTAGGAAACAGTTTTATGTAGTTTAAATGCAATGTCTTAAAAAAATTAAACTTTTATCATTATAAGAGGAAAAAAGATAACAATGACAAAATGATTGCTGTACTTTTTCCAGGAAGTAGGATTTTGGCACTATTACAGCAAAGAGAAAAGATGTTCTTCTTTTTACAGAAATTTTGCATGTCAGCACACTTTGATTATAAAGCAGAGTTGAGAAGGAACTGCCAAAGTCTGTTTAAGTAATTTAAAGCAATCATCTGCTGTAAGAGGTTATGATAGATTTGTCCTTTTTTCAATGCTCTTGAGAATCTCTCTTTAAAACTATTCTACTCTTATTTTAGGCAAAGAAAACAACTCTACGTTTTTTCTATATTTATGTATCTTGTTAAGATTCTGCTTATCGTGACCTCAGTAAAACATTTTATCTATTAATAATTAGTTAAGATCTCTATAATTACATTTAAATGAAAATTTAAAATAAGTTGGTAGATATGAGGTTTCAGTAACTGTTACTTGGCACTTAAATCTCAGTAGGAAAAAACTGCTGATAGAATGGAAGTTTGAGAAACTCTGAGGGAAAAGTAAGAATTTTTCAGTTATCCCAGAAAAAATCTGGGGTGGAGTTAGTATTTAGAACTGCAGGTTTTAGATATAGGAAAAAGAAAAGTATAAAAGATAATGCAGAAAGACAAAGATAAGAAAAAAAGATAATGCAAGGAGTAAAAGCTCTCAAAATTGGAATTTTGATAAATCAGTTGCAAATAACCTTGATGAATACCACTTCTTAATGGTTTATTTGAATAACAGATAAATAACTTAGTATAATGGTACACGGTATAGGCTCAATAAATGTTATCTGTTATCACCAAATGACATTTAACCTCTGCGATGTCCCTATGTAGTTTATATTGTTTTCTTCATTTGCAATTATTTATGAACATCATGCTCAAGTCTACCTTACCTCATAGGAGCGCTCTTTTGATGACTCACCGGTGAAAAGAGCAAACATACTCTAGAATGTCAAGGTATATTAAAACTGTCACATGGCTCAGGTGAATTACAGACACCTAATGTTGTTCAGTGACATATTCTCAAATTGAGAAAAGTTGCAAACATGGTCCAGTTGTGGGATATTAAAGTAAAGGAAGATGCCTTAAAACTGGAACTGGGCAAAATCTATAATACTTTTTTTAAAAAGAATATTATAAATTATAACTCTAGAAGTGTGAGCTTGCAGTGAGTCCACATCGAAATTTGATGAAAGATTTGAAGCCAGTTGTGAGTAGTTGGTGTGGGACGGGAATACAGAAAGGAAAATACTAAGGTCCTTTAATAACAAATAATAATGCTCATTAGATGCAATCCATGTTAAATATATTAACGATTTCAATATTCCAAAGTAATCTTATAGACATTGTTTCATGTCATCATCACCAGGATACTCTGGAGGACAGTGACAGCTATTATTTCGTCACTTTTACAGATGAGAAAATTCTCAGGGTGCTAAATACCTCATCTAAGATCATGGAGGTGATAAAGGAGAAAGGCAGGTCTTTAACTCAGGTTTTCTGACCATACCCATGCTTTTCCCCTCAGGTCTGTCGGATACCAGAGCCCTTGAGATCTTTTTTCATTATCCCAGCTGACAGGGGAGAGGAATTCTTTGTATCTCAGTTCTACAAAGTCAGGCATGATGTGCATGTGGGCAAGATCAGGCAGCATGGGCCAGAGGATGATACAGTTGGCTGAATTTTTAGCTTCAAGATAAGATATTATGAATGATAATATTAATAATTATTTGAATATGTGCCTGCCACTGTGTTGTTTTATGTATATTAGGTTATTTAATTGTCAAGTATTTTTATTCAATTATTGAATAATGAGGTTCAGAAACATGACTTAACTAACGCAAGTCATACAGCTAGATAGTGGCAGAACCAGAAGTTGATGCCAGATCTAACTTTAATGCCTACCTATAATGACTGTCACCTCAGAAAAAAATGCTCTAGAAATGGACTGGAGACCTTGACCACTATTTTTTATAAGATATGTATTACTGATTCTCAAATGCAGTTGGGTTTAAGGATAAGGGTAGAGCTAGAGGTTCACATTAGAATCTTGTGTGTATTTTTTTTAATATAAGTGAACTTTTTATTTTAGAATAGTTTCAGATTTATAGAAAAATTACAAACATAATAGAGAGCATTCCTGTATACCCCCTCCCACAGTTTCCCTTATGAACATTTTACATTAGTGTGGTATATTTATAAAGATTATGGGTGTTATTTTTGAAAAAGCTCATTTGAATATTATAAAATAATTGTATATTCGAAAGCTTAAAAGTTTACATAATTCAGACAATAGTGAAGTTTAACAACATCCTCTCTTCTGATGAGGATTTACAGAAGATATAACTTTAGGAACTTCTAACTGGAGGAAGTGGGGGAAGGATATTCTACAAAGAGGTACATCAGAAACTCAGGGATGTAAATAGTGAAAATTTTCTATCTAATATAAGGAAACAGCAGTTAAAAAGTGAAAAATAATGATTTTGATGTTCATCGGATTTTCAGCTCAGCACAAAGCTAAGGTGGTTAGATAATATAATGAATGCTGGAAACAGAATGTGAAAGGATTGAAAAACAACTTTAATGAAAATGCAAATTATTGTATTTAGATCTAAATATCAACTTTGTAAGAATAGGATGAGAAATGTGACTCAGCAGAAAAGGGTTTACAGCAATAGTTCTCAGTCTTGATTGCTCATTGGAACCACCTGGGAGGCTTTAACCACTTTGCATACCTTGCCCTACCCTT